CGCCGTTGGACTTCCGCCTGTTCGTCGATCGCCGTCGGACTTCCGTCTGTTCATCAACCACCACCGAAGTTCTTCCCGACCACCATCAGATTTCCACCCATTTGTCGATCACCAATGGTCCTTTCGACCACCGTTGCCCACCGTCTACAATCCTTGTTACCTTCATCTCCCGACGACTACAGTCCTTGGTACCTTCATCTCCCGATGACTATGGTCCTTTCGACCACAGTTGCCTGTCGACTACATTCCTTATAACCTCCATCTCTCGCCGACCACGATCCTTCCGATCACTGTTTCTCTCCGACTACGATCCTTCTGACCACCATCACTTTTCGACTATGATCCTTTTGACCACCGTCGCCTAACTAAGATTTTTTCAACCTCCGTCACCTGACTATAGTCCTTCTGACGACCGTCATCCGACTACGGTCATTCTGACCTACATCACTCTCCAACTATGGTCAACTGCCCAAACAGATATATCAACACTGATTATTCTAACTCCCAAATATAATTCACTCTATATGATGTATATTTTCTACATCGAGCCACGATCTCCCACCTAAGGAAGGGCCTCAATTATAATCAATTGCAAACACTAGTGGATTCATTTAAACTGGGCCCAACCCTATGATTTTTCTCCTTTTTAGGGGTTCCACGTAAAAATTATGGGGCTGCTTATAAACGCTATAACCATACTCTCTTATCTTTTTTGTATGTTGGATATTCGTGCAAAACTACGATGCTAAACTATATCACTCTACCGAATGAATATTCTAGGACGCAACAAGTATATATTGGGATAAAATTAGTTGAGAGCTAGTTGAAGGTTAGTTAGGTGATAGTTGGGAGGTGGCTAGGATGAAGTTGCTTGACCATCATCTCATGTTGTTAACATCTTTAAATACAAATCAAATAATGGCACATTCAAGACTTTGATCATGGCTCATCCAACAAATAGAGATACTTATATTCATATTTTAACAAATAGTCTAAATTTGAATTATGTGGCGGCCCCTTCTTTTTTATTATATTTTCTTGATTTTAAATATTAAGATGTGCTCTATTGGAGGATTATTTATCAAAGAATAAAATTTGCTTAAGATTAATTTCTTTGATGAATCTTAGTTGCCTATCCTCACAAAAAAAGATTTTGTGAGTTTCAACCTATCTTAATTTGTATGATATAATAACCACTCTTTATTTTTGCCCTAAACTCCAACCCTAACCACCATCCACAATGTATTATTAACCCTAAAAACAATCCCGTAATTCCATTGTAGTCCTAAATCATCTGTCTTCTTCACATTATCACATATATAAACTCTAGTTAATCCTTTTGAGTTTGTCTGCACTCAATAAATCAGAACATCTCTTAAGCCCTCCACATGCCTCCTTATTCCATCAAAGTTTCATAAACTATAACTCCACATTATCACCTCTTATTTTGACCTAAAACAATGTATACGTAAGCCTAACCTTTACGTAATACCCCATAAATAAGTACTATTCATGTTGAACTTCTCAGCCTCCACCATAAGCCCATCACACTTCTACAGATTATTTTATACTACCATTAACAATCACCATCATCAAAGATTTCTTCTATACAGAAAGGTCAAGATACCATATCTCATCAAATTTAGCATTAAAGCAAAAGAGGGTCTACAAGCATCAAATTTGATATTAGAACTGAAAAGTGTCCATGAGACTTGAAGGTGTAACAAGTTCTCAACATCAACTTTCAAATGATGAAGCAATACCTTCAAAAGGTAGATATCACTTTTTTTTTGCTTAAATTCACTACTTTTGATTAATGAAAGTTCAAAAAATCCCAAAATTTTATTTTCTTTCAAGCCTTCATATCTTATTTGTATGTCATCATGACACATTATGATAAAATCAAGCATATTCTTAAAAAAAAAACATCATTACTTTTATATGTAGGTTACAAAACGCTACATAACCTACCATAAAACAAGGAAAATACTTGATATGATGAAATATGTGAGAGATTAAATAGATCAATTCTTAAATATCAGGGTAAATGTTTTTTGTAATATAATTCAACTTAATCATGAAATAATAAGTCAATTTTTTCTGACTTATAACTAAATTTTAGTTTCATATATGTTTTTGGTGCTTAAGGAGGAGAGGACAAAGGACAATCAAAAGGAAGAAAATAATAGAAAATAGGAGAAAGAAGAATAATCACTCACTATCATTGGTCGATTTTGGTCGATGGTGGAAGGCTTCCAACACATTCTCAATTGAAGACGTAGAAGAAACAATACATAGAGAAAGGGCTTGCTCTTGGATGATTTTGGTTTGTATTCATTGACGGGTAAGAAGAAGACAAAGAAACTTGCGGTGCCTCTCAATTGAAGGAAGTAGAAATCAGTGAAGTAGGAAGCAAAAAGGGAGGAAGGCTTGCAAAAATATCATGTAAAGGCGACTCAACATCCGCGGAGGGAGATTAAAGTGAGTGATTCCCTAGGTTTGATCTCTACTTAATTTGGGAGTGAGGAAAAAAAAAAAAGAATAGGAGAATCGCATAACTAGCATGATTAGTAGGGTGGAAGCTGGTAGAGAGTCATGGAATTATGAGCTCTGCTTGATGAAAGGGGCGAGACTTCAATTGTTTAGCACTAAACAAAGAGCTTCATTTGATTGATAATAATTCGATCATTATAAGGGTAGTTCAAGGTTAATAGTTGATTCATATTATTACACTCATCCCTAGCATCCCATATGCAATTCCTATTAAAAACCCTAAACAGACTTCTTTAATTCCATAATAAGTTTTCATTAAACATACTAATTCTTGTACAAAATTCTTCGCATATTAAACATACCCCAACACAGTTATCATGTGCATCTATTGCAATTACAACTTTTTTAATGATTTTTAAAGCAAATTTCTAGTACAAAAATTTTTAGTTAAAAAAAATTTGTACTAAAAAACTGTTTTAAAAAATAATAAGAAAGTTGTCCGAAACGAAGCCTGAATCTACTCATCATTATCTCGTAACTACTATAAATCATATAATAATGGTTAAAACTTACTTATTTTCAAGATAACTCCCTTACAGGAGCATTATTATTATTTAAGTGTTGGGCAAGCTTCCAACAAAATATTATTTTATCATTATTGATTCAAGCAAGATAGCACTTAAGAAGGCTATAGTAATTTTATCCTGACAAAACATATTAATCAGAGATATTGTAAGATTGATGTAATACAATATAACCAAATAATAACATAATAAATCAGTTGGATACATTATGAACTTGAATTTCAATTCCTAGAATATATGGGCACTTACAAGTCACTTAAGTTCAAAAACCCATTGAATTATATTTCTTATATTCCAATAATTATCAAATTTTTAAATTGCAAAGGTTAGTTAATGTTAGTTGAAATATGGTTATAATTAATAAGATGTTAGTTAAAATTGAGTTGGGAGTTCATTGAAGTTAGTTGGAATTGGAGGTGGTTGTAATGCAATTTTTTTACCATCACCATCATGTGATATGCCATTCATATAAGGTGACACATATCAAGGCTTTGTTAGAGGCTTCTCCAACAAATCAAGATAACTCTCTCCATATTTTCTACAAGTTTTCAATCTAAATCCTACCATATATCCAACCGCTCATCTACTTTTGTTTGAATTGCATTTTCTTATAAATATTATTGTGCCCTCTCATTAGAGGATTGTTGATAGAATATTGAATTTCGACTGTGAGATATTTCTTTGGTGAAACTAGGTGGATGCTACTCTCTTGAAATTTTAGTTAGTTTAGGGCTTTCTTATTTTATGATTTATCATTAACTCTCTCAATTTTGACCATAAACTCTAATAATTGTAGTGTTTATAACATGCCATTAACCCTATAAACCAACACACAAGCCATAAGATTGTCCCTCAAAATCTATCTCATTCACATCAAAATAAACCCAGGTTAAGCCTTAAAGGCTTTTGTTCCCTCTCCATAAATCCTAATATCTCTTAAGGCCTCCACGAGTATTAATCTTTCATCCAAGTTTTTAAAAACCATAATGTCAAATTAACACCACTAAAATTTTCCTAAAATAACACATACTTAAGCCTAACATCTCAACAAGACCACATAAATAAAATATATTCTAAGTTAATCATTTGATCTCCACCATCTCACATAGATGTCATTCCCTCAATCCTAAAGGTTGGTTCATATCACCACTAATCAACATCAACATCAAGAGTACCTTCTACATACAAAGATCCTACCATCACACCCAATCAAGAAGAAAACCCAAAAACACCAAAGGGGGTATTTTTCCCTGCAAAAAAGAAAAAAAAAGACTACTGATGGCATTTCCTCTTACCAAACAAGTTGCTCTAATAAATTACGTGACCATTGGCGGATATCTCGCTATACAAAAGGAAAAAAAAATTGAAAATTGTACCCTAAACTCTTACTTCAAAAGTAGAAGAAATATATAAAAGAAAAAAAGATGACGAACAGATGATGTTGCATTTAGTGGATAAGGCATACTTATATCTATATCTGATGATAATGCTAAAGGATATAATAATATATCCATCATCTAATATGAACACATAAAAGAAGCTATTTGCATCAAAGATGCCAATCATGCAATAGGCGACTAGCGTTTTCATTGACACCAACCACCACAAGAATCTTACCTTGATAAATTTAGCATAAAAAAACAGACTTAAAATCTGTGCATCATCTTAATCCTTACATTTAAGGATTCAAAACAGAACCAGAGATGAAAATTGATTGTCGATATCACTTAAAATTTATGATCAACAATAATTATATTTATGAGATATTATTTTTGATAATTTTGCTTGACATATATATCAAATCATCATTAACAACTCATATTATAATAAAATTGAATTATTTGTTTATATTATATTTAATAATTTATTAGAATATAGATATGCAAACCCATTTACCAAGCTAATAAATCTTCTCCAAGGACCCGGGGGTTGATATCGTAATTTCAAGCCGCGCCCGTCCGTCCCCGGACCCGGCGCATTGTCTATCGCTCTAGTCATCCTGCGATAATTTCACCGCCGTTTTCCCGTCAAATCCCTTCCCTCCTTCGCCCTAAAACCAACGGCAGCGATGCACCGACTCTCCGATCTCCCTACTCCTCGTGTTCTCCCCTTTGACGGTACATCAATCCCCTTCCTACCCCCTTGGCGCAAACGTCGCCGCACGCTTCTCCGGCGATCTACCGTGCACTAACATATATTCCTCCGATTTTGTTGAGATTTCCACATCGCTCCTCTTCTTGGAGAAATCCCACCGCAAGAAAAAACAAGGTAGGTTTAGGGGTTGAGAGGTGATGGAGGTACCTTCGAGGCCACCGAATCCGGCGATGCCATACCGAGAAGACTGTTGGAGTGAAGGGGAGACGTCGGTTCTGGTCGACGCGTGGGGCGACCGTTTCCTTGATCTCAACCGGGGAAATCTCCGCCAGAAGCAGTGGCAGGAGGTGGCGGACGCCGTCAATGCGAGGCCTGGCGCGGGGCGTCGGCCTCCTCGTACGGACGTGCAGTGCAAGAACCGGATCGATACGCTCAAGAAGAAGTATAAGATTGAGAAGGTTAAGATATCGGATGGCGCCTATGGTAGCCAGTGGCCTTTCTACTCCCGCTTGGACATGCTCATCGGGTCCACTGTTCCTGCTAAAAAGCCGCCCCGTTCTTCTTCTTCTCCTCCGCTTGCGCTGCCTTTGCCCTCCTATCGCAAGGGGTTGCCTCTACCGATGGCAGCTGCTGTTCGCGCTGTTGAGTCTCTGCCAAAGGAGAAACGCCCTGCTGCCGTGGGACTTTCCGCGGACGACTCTTTCTTTGGGAGGAACTACACGGTGGCTGCTGCTGCCGCCGCTGCTGCCGCGGAGGTGGAATCTGGGTCGTCGTCTAAGTTGTCTGCATCGAGCACGGAGAGGTCTAGGTCGACCCGGGACAGATCTGCGAGGGGGTTGAGGAAGAAGCGCAAGGGACGAGAGGGTGGCGGGATCGGTGAACTGGCACGCGTGATCGAGTGGTTCACGGATATTTATGAGAATGTGGAGGTTGAGAAGCAGCGACATATGATTGAGCTGGAGAAGGAGAGGATGGAGTTCATCAAGGGTTTGGAGTTCCAACGTATGCAGATGTTTGTGGATACCCAGGTTCAGATGGAGAAAATCAAGCGCGCTAGGCGGTCTGATGCTGGTGAGTAAGGACTTTTGTTGTTACTTCTCCTTTTATTTTTCATCCCTTGTGCTCAATATTTAATTTTTCATTGTGTGTTTTCTCTTTGATGTTTGGTTTAGGTACTTCCAGATCTAGATTTAGGCTCATCTGAATTTTTTTTACACTTTTTCGTTTATTGTCATCCACGTCGTGCTGGAACCGGTCATCGATAGTCTGTTAAAGAGCTTAGCATAAATGTGAAACCTTTTGGTTTCTTTGTACTCTTATGGGTTGGTGCTCTTCATTATGTCCTGTGCATTCAGATGTTCTTATTGAGCTCTCTGCAAATCTTTCCATTTGTGAACCCTCAGTCGTTGTGTTAGTAATAGCGCTGATTCATTAGCATAAATTAATTTCATGAGGCCTCTTCTGCTTTGATGCCCTAGAGGTCTCAAACATGTTCTTCTACATGCAGAATAGTTTGCACTATAGGATTCAAGGGCATCATGTAAGACTGAATAAGCAGGGACACATTTTTAAAATTTTCCCCTTAAGTTCTACTTGTTTCTTTTAAGTGTTCGGAGGTTAGTTCTGGAATCGAATCTATTGAAGTTAGTTGCAGTGATACCTGGCTGTTTTGCATTTTTTGTGAATTGAAGGCTCATTTTTATTGACTCTCTTGTTTAAATTTCATTATTTTCTTAATGTATAAGTAAAAGTAACATTCCAATCCATCATCCCATAAGTTTAATAGTATTCTATTATTAAATGCACATTATTATGCGTGAATGAATGCATTGAATGCAGATTATAACAAATCAAATACATTAGCAGTAAATATTTAACAATAACTGGAATAGCTATTAGTGGAGAGATTATTCTGTGCGGACACCAAACATAGCTTATCGTCCAGAGGCGAATCAAGTGCAACCATGTCATCCAGTACCGTGCAGTACCAAGCTCGGTACCAAGCAGTACCGAGCAGCGGTACCGAGTAGGGGGTGATTCATTTTCATTGGGCTCCGGACGGCGTTCGGTGTCCGCACAGAATAATTCATCCTATTTTAGTGAGGCCTTCTTCCCACCCTTTCATCTACCTAAATCTCTAATAAACCATTTCCAAAACTAAAATCTAAGCCACATCACCTTCATTATAATTCTCAACAACTCCCATTCACATTTGTGTTCCAAATTATCAAACTAGAATTCAAATTTAACATCTGCGGTCATTCAAACAATCCCAAATATTCCCGTGCCAAGCTAGTCAACTGTAACTATTAATTTAAACTCTTGCAACTTTTTAAAAAAACACAAAACCACCAAATACTCTTCTCTATGCCAAAAATTTACTATTCATACAAAAAGTTTTGTTCAATTTACCAACCGATCATATAGTAGGTTCTTGTTTATGTTAATAGTAATGTGTTCCCAGAGACAATATTACTGTATCTGTTTTTGTGTTAACACATTCCTCGGCACCTTCGATAAGCTTTCCCACAACTAGGTCCTTCTGCTTGAAAAAAAAAGAGAGGAAAATAACAGCAAGCTCCAGTGCACAGACCAAGCTAAGCGAACTACAGAGATTAACTAGCGGGTTTATCCTTCCTTTATGCATTAAAAAATAGCAATCTTTCTCTTCTCCTGAAAAGAATTACTGCCTATTCCATCAACATTACAACATTAAAACAGATATGCCCGTGATCTAGGATTTTAGTATTGATCTACACTAGAAATTAAGGAATGATCTTTGTTATTTAACCAATATAGCTCCATGCATGGATTTTAAGCTCTACAAATATATTGCTAGCGTATAATTCTGATTTCATTACCATACTCTAGCATGTTGAAACCCGTTGCTGTCCTATAAACACCTGCTGATATATAATCTCTTATGTTTATAACTTATGTATGAATTATATTTGATTAACCTTAGAATTATTTTGATATTTGAGCTTTGCTTTCAACTTCTTAATATTTGGAATCTCTATGCTATCAGCTTTTAATTTAATCATTGAATTAGTTAATTTTTCTTTTTTCATTTAATATAGCATTCTATGATTGCCTTTCAGCATTGCCATATTGGAATTAAGGGTGGAATATGATAGATTTTCAAAACTAGTTGAATACATGCAAGAAAACATGGGAAACCGATTGGCTTCCGTGAAAGAGAAGTTAAATTTTTGGAAGATAAATTTGATTCAGTTATGAGCATACTAGATGAATGTCTAATTAATTTGAAGTTTCGGCGTTTCAAATGCATAATATTAAAATCTTCTAGAGGAGCGTTTTATGGTGCTTCGACACAGCCTATTGATTCAATAGGTCCTTCATCTCAACTGAATACTTTAGAAGATTTAGTGCAATAATCAAAGAATTACCTAATGCTTTAGCTATTAGGACTTTCATTGGAGGAATGTGGTATTCCTCAAAACTCACCTTTTTAAACACATCCTTAGAGTTGCGTCAATGATAATTCATAATTTTTGTTATCAGAATGAGCAAACCATGAATTTTAAAAAATTAAGGAACCACAAGAAACTTTTAGATTGCCTGGCCACTTGGACTTTAAAGATCACAATGCAGTATGAATTGTGGAGACTTTTAGGATTTAAAAAGCCAACTGACTCTTGAAATACCAACGAGATTATATTGATAGTATGAACCATCTAAATCCTCAATAAGAAGATTATTTTAGCGATGGTCATGATAACCAGCATCTTTTATTCATATTATAAATTTTGCTGTTTTTGTAATGGATGTTAGGATGAATATGTAGATATAAAAAAATTTATTAGGAATTTTCATGTTTATATTCCACTTGTGATGAAGAGTACCGTAGTCTTCCAAATTGAGATTGGTAGCGTGACTAGAAGATTTTGGATAGGATTTGAGCGTAATAGATAATTTTATTGATTGCTATGTTTGTAGAATATGAACTGATCTGATGTAGGATGCTTTAGAGTCTAAGGTTTCTAATATAGCTATTTGATGTAATCCATAAAACCACAACACATATAAAATCAAATTCATTGTTCTCATATTGTTACTTTAAACAAGTGTTTGCATCCTTTGATACACCAACAACAACATCAAGCTTTTATCCCACTATGTGGGGTCGGTTACATGAATCATTTTTCTCTATTGTGTCATGTTCAGAGTTAAATTCTTATTTAAATCTAATAAAGAAATGTCATTTCTAATATTTTCAAACCATGTATTTTTTAGGTCTACCTCTACCTTTCTTAACATAAATCAAATTTAAAACATATACTTTTCTAACCGGGTCATCGGAAGGTTGCCGTTTTATGTGACCAAATCATCTAAGGCGACTCTCTCTAATCTTATCTTCCATTGGAGCTATTCTAACCTTTTTCATGCATATGCTTGTTTCGTATCATGTTTCAAAGAGTAAAGCCACTGATCCACCTGAGCATCCTCATCTCTTCAACAATTAATATTATGCTTCTCTTTTAATGGCCAACATTCTGCACCATAAAGCATTGTTGGTCTAACCACCATCTTATAGTATTTTTCCTTAAGTTTGAGGGGGACTTTTCTATCACACAACAAGATCAATGCATTCCTCTACTTCAACCATCCAACTTGAATTCTACTAATAATATCCCCATCTATTTCACCATCACTCTTAATAATAGATCTAATATATCAAAAACGTGTACTTTTATTAATGACTTGATCATCCAAAGTCACAATCCATCGGTAGATCTATTATTAGTAAAATTACACTCCATATGTTTGCATCCTTTGATGAAAAGTAGAAAATATTTAAAATTTGTGCAAGCGATAATTTAAGTATTGTTGGATAAAAAATTTGGACCAATCAAAACCACATTTTGATTGAATCACAACAAAATTAGAAAGTTCAGGTTGGACAAGTTTTAAATAAATATGATCACAATGCATAACTAACAACTAAAAGTGTCAAATATAAGAGATCAAGGACAAACAACAACAATAACAACAACAACATCAAACCTTTTAACCCACTACGTGGGGTCGAACACATGAATCATTTTACTCCATTATGTCTTGTTAAGTGTCAAATTCTCATTTAAATCTAATAAAGAAATGTCATTTCTAATAATTTCTAACCAAGTCTTTTTAGGTCTACCTCTACTTTTCTTAACATAGGCCAAATCTAATACATCTACTCTCATAACAGGATCATCAGAAGGCCGCCATTTTATATGACCAAATCATCTAAGGTGACTCTCTTATCTTATCTGTCACTGGAGCTACTCTAACCATTTCACGTATATGCTCATTTCGTATCCTGTCTCTAAGAGTAAATCCATTCATCCACCTGAGCATCCTCATTTAGGGGTAAAACTGAGTCAAGCCGGCGTGCGAGTTGACTCGAGCTCGACTCGGTAAGAGGCTCGATGAGTTGAGCTGATCGAGCTCGAACACGAATTCGAACTCGACGGCTTATCGAGCTCGAGCTTGAATAGACATATGGTCGACTCGACAGCTCGTCGAGCAACTCGTGGAGGTTGGGGCGGGAAAACAAATTCTCGATTTGGGCGAGCGGGATAATGAATCGGAAGGCGAAGACAGAGGGTGATGATAGAGGTCGGGAGGGCGACGACAAAGCTCAGGACGAGTTACGACGAAGCTAGGGAGGTCAACGATGGAGCTCAGGATGATGGATGTCGCGACTACTAACATGTTCGGGACGACGCTCGATGAGCAGCTCGATGTGAGACTAGTTGAGCTCGTGCTTGTCTTTTGAGCTCGACTGAAGTTCGAGCTTGAGCTCGGTATTTGGTAGTCGAGCTTGACTCGAATACCCCCTCGCTTGAGCTCGACTCGACTCATTTGCACCCCTATCCTCATCTCAGCAACACTTAACTTAATATTATGCTTCTCTTTTAATGTCCAACATTTTGTGCCATAAAGCATTGCAAGTCTCGCCACCATCTTAGAAAATTTTCTCTTGAGTTTGAGTGGTATTTTCTATCACTTAACAAACCCTAAGCATTCCGTCACTTAACCATCCATTCTGAATTTTACTAATA